TATTTTACATGTAGAAAATGAAATCATCAGGGTTTTTTTTTTTTGTGTGACATATTTTGTGACATTTTTATTGTGATATTGTCATGACTAATCAGCACATTTCCCATTCAAATATTGATTACGAAAATATGAAGTAATAGTAATAATAATATTTACCATTTGTTTCTCATTTAAATTATTTTTTAATGATTTCCTCTTATTAAGGATTTAATTTGTTAAACCTTTTAGATTGTCAGTTATGATATTCTATCACATCTGGGTCATATTTCACACACACAATCAAAAGGACAAAATAGGGAATTATATTTTGCATATATAAAATATAACCATTAGGGTTTTTTTGCATTGACATTATTTCATGACCGTTAAGGACATTCCCCTTTCAAATGATGATTACTATAATGTGAAATAATAATAATAATAATAATAGCAATTAATAATTATTAGTATTATAAAAATATGAAAATAATACAATACAAAAAATGAAATGCTAGGATTCATTTTATGCTAAATAAATTTAAATCATATATTATTTTAATTTTAGGGTAAAATATGACCAGGACATATTTCAAGAGGTTCATCCTATTATGCAAAAGACAAAATTTTGCAGGTGACCACATCTTGTAATTTTGGAAAGATGTTTTATGTCTTGACAAAATGTAATACAAAACATTTTGTATATATAAAAAGAAATGTTTATGTGCACAGAAATTGTCATGATTGTTTATTTGACCATTACATGTGTGCATACAGTAAACGTCAGTATGGCTACTGATATAACGGTATTGTGTTGAATAACATTGTGTGAGTGTGATGCGATGTGATGTACAGTATCACAATGCAGAAACAAATTCTGACCAAATGATACTTTATAAGCATGGATGATTATTGTAGTTCCCTGCCGTTTCGATGCCATGCACGATGTTTTTATGCTGCTAAAGGCCATTTCAGTGCAAACAGTGCTTACACAATAATCAATGTCACATCACACAGAGTCTGTAAACACTATGTTGCCTACACAGTTTGTGGCATATCTCAGGTTGGAGGCCAAATATGTGTCCAAGTTGAATATGTGTTTAATTTGAATCAGGATGTCATTAAAGTCAGCATGAAATCAAAAATCACCCTGTTTACTTTCTTTATACACACTGCTGGCCTTATAGTGAATAATATGCACCAGTGCACATTATATTTGATCGAATATGTAATAACTTGCTCTTACTTCACTCTAAAATCAGTTCTTTTCAGATAACGTCTGAGGCTGTGTGGACTATTAAAAATGTTAACCAATTGGCAATAAGTTATGTAGGCATTGTTTTAGCTCTCATTCTGTACCTCTTGTTCCAGGTACAGTAGCATTCAAAAGTTTGGGGTTGTTGGTTTTTTTTGTAATGTTTTTGAAAGAAGTCTCTTCTGCTCATCAAGGCTGCATTTATTTGATCAAAAATACAGTAATAATTGCTAAATATTTTTTACAATTTAAAACAGCGGTTTTCTATGTAAATATCTGTTAGAATGTAATTGATTTCTGTGATCGAAGCTGAATTTTCAGCATCATTACTCCAGTCTGCAGTGTCACATGATCTTCAGAAATCATTCTAATATGCTGATTTGCTGCTCAAGAAACATTTATGATTAATATCAATGTTGTTAACAGTTGTGCTGATGAATTTGTTTTTTGGAGACCACGACACATTATTTTCAGGATTCTTTAATGAGTAGAAAGATTAAAAGAACAGCATTTATTTAAAATTTATAGAAATGTTTTATAACAATATACATGTCTTTACTGTCACTTTTCATCAATTTTATGCATGAATAAAAATTCTAAAAAAAAATTACTGACTCCAAACGTTTGAACAATAGTGTATGTAATGTCCACTTTTCACAATCCAAACAATTTCTAAAGAATAAAATAATTAATTCTGGGATAAAACCTCATTTTTTTCTAGTTGCATAAGTAAAATAAGTTTAAAATGAGATATGTACGTGCTCAATGAAATGAACAGTGTCTAACAGTGATTGATTGAGTGTGACTATAGCTGCTCTGCTGGCTCTGGTTCTCCAGCTTCAACACGTTCGCTGTCAGTGACCTTTGCCACTTAATAAACGCTCACTAATTATGAGCTAATTCTCCCTGTGGGATCAAACGCTCTATCAGCACCAACAAACCTACAATCACCATCAGTCTGTCATCAGTCTGTCACACACAGCCCACATACACGCCAACATTTGAGCCAAACATGCTGCTCTTAACATCTGTTCATGTGTGGTTGTGAATGATAGTATATTTGTATTGACATGCAGTGAATATTGTCAGTATTTCATTTCATTGTTTAAGGTAAGACGCTACAGGTAAAACCATTGTTTTTACGCAATTTATTTTTGTGTTATTTTGCTTCCATAACATGATTTCCATAAAACTAAAAAATACAAAAAATAAAATAAAATACACATTTAAGTGTTTATTAAACTTTAACTATTTGAGTTTGTATATTTCAAATACATTTCTTTTAAAGGTAATTTTTGCAAAATGTGTTTGTTTCTCCACTTCAGCAGCACTTACGTGCACCAAATTTTACAGTTTTACATGAATGTATGCAAATTAGTGCATATTTAATGCATAATTTGCATGTTTAAATATAATATTTCTAATTTTAATATAACAATTGTCTTAATGTACTGTGATTAATCAACTTACTAAAATATGAAGTATTAAAACATTTTTATTAATTTTTTTATAATTTCCTCTTATTTAGGATTTAATTTGGTAAAACCTTTTAGTTTTCAGTTATGCTATTCCT